CATAACCGAGATGGACTGCAGATAGGCCATATATTACAATGGAACCATGTAATGGATCGACGGGCACCCCGACTGGGTACCTCCGTTGAAGGATGCTCCTAGCTCTTCCTGAGGACTCCAAGCACTGCAGCAGACACCATAACCACCATAGACTCCTTCAGAGAACAAGGCAAGAACAAGCTCTTACAGGAGCTTAGTAGTGATTTAGCAAGGGAGTATGATAAGCATGGCAATCCCTTGTAGCAGATTCCCCCAATAAGAGACGACACTCCAAATTGAGGGTGAAGTAGAACTGCCTGTACTGGCACATACAGCCTCTTTTATTCCCAATCCACAAATTTAGTACTGCCCACAGGGTTTTACAGAACAACCAGTAACACACATACATTACAGAAAACACTCCCAGCAATTATACACAAAATCCTCCCCTCTGCCTGTGATATAATTATGGTACACAATGGTTAACATAATTATCACAAGCAGGAAAAATACAGTTTTTATACATGTGCTATAACTTTAAAAATATAAGTCCAATCTTCATAAATTACATATTCAATGTCAGCACACTTTAAACATAAACACTCTCAAAAATCAGACAAATCCATCCAGTAGATAAAAAGTTAGCTGGGAGTCCTTTATGACCGACCGCAAGCACATTTTCCTGCCCAAAACAGTTCCATAGATTTCGGCTGTGCGGCCGCCGCCACGTGTTCGTTTGTCGAATGGCGGCCACTTCGACTACTTTGGCACTTCGGCTGCATCCGAAATGCCAATTGAAAGCTGCAGAACTGCTCCAATACAATTTAAAGGGGCAGCAAGTCTTTTAAAATCCAATCTGCTAAAATAGTCTTTAACAGGCAATATCTTCCAAGGGCCATAGTCTTAAAGGGGCATTCTTCCTAAAAATCACAGTATGTCCCCAGATGGTTCTTAAAGGGCCAGCAGCAGCATAATAAAACACAATATGCCCAAATACTGTATTTAAAGGGCCAAATCTTCCAGGGGCCATAGTCAGCAGGCAGGAGGCGGCCAAACAGGCTTCTCCAATGCCCAGTGGCGAGGTTGGTTTCACCACAAACCATTTCTAAGCCAGCAGGGAGACCCTGTAGTTTTAAATCTG